CCCTTGCCTTTCGGATCTTGGTCCTGGAGACCGCTCCATCTTGTAGCGGATAGAAAGGGGTCGCTGACATCGCGGCGGAACGTTGACGGAGGGAAAGCCCATGGGTTGCGGTGTTTGACGTTGGTAACGGGTGAACTTGGGTCTGGTGTACGGAGGCGTTGCGAGAGTCTGTGGTACTCTAGCGGGGCAGATTATCGGCGAGGATTCCCAAGGGCGAAGCGGGAACTGGGCGTCAGTAAGGTGCGAGAGGCGTTGACATAGGGTAGATCTGGTGACAGTCGGTGACGTGCATTAACGCTGAAAGACGACGGCGGGCTCTCTGAGGTTCTTCAACCGTCGGAACTGTTGGGACTACAAGGTTTCCGAGCTATGCGAAACGGACGCAACTCGAGCGGGGGATTGTGTCGGAAGACGGTTGCCTCTTCGTGCTGATACATAAACAACGCTTTGCTGCGTATCGAAGTTGGGTGTTGTACTGCTGTCGGCTGAGCCGGGACGATGGCAGAATAATGGAGATTTGGTGGTTGACGGTCGGTCAAAATGCAAAATTTGCTGGTGGGATGCTCGGAGTTTAGAGTGTCTGCGGAGAGCCCAAGTCGGGAGGTGGAACCGGCGGAGAGTTTTGGCTGCCCAGCGATGGACGACACGGCGGGTGATTGTCGAGTACTGAGGCGGTTGATGTTTCGGGAAATCGCTTCGGAAAGTCCAAAGGCGATGATTTTGGAAATGGTTGGCTTTTTTAAAAAAGAATTGCGGAGATGTGGTTTGGCAGAAGAAAGTTTTCAGGGCGCAGAAAGAGAAAACGTTTTGAGAAAGCAGGCCAGATTCGGTGGAGAAAGAGAATCAGGAACACAGGTGGTCCAGGCCTGAGGCAACCGCGCTAAGAAGGGGTGCTTCGTTGCGTTGCCCCATCCCCGCCCAGGTTGAAGACTCAAGAGCCTGATCGGGTGGGGCTGCCCGAGTGGAAGTTGCTGGAACTCGCCCCCCACGACTCCGCCCGGTCTTTGTGACTCGGATCCCCTCGGCTCCTGCGAGTCTGCACAGTTATTGGGGGCAGCCAGGCCCTCGACCATCCATCAGTCCGATGCAAGCAAACCCTTCTTTGATTTTTGATGATTTATTTTTGAAACCCGTTGGATATTAAATTTTGACTGCATTTGGCAAAGGCAATGGATGGCCACTAACAAAACTAAACGAAACGAGATCCCACCAACCCCTTGTGCGGAATTAACGGCCCTGCAGCCATGTGCCACAGTGAGTGGATTCAAAGATCCCCAACCTGCATTCGAAACGCAACGGGCCACGACGCCGAGTGGATTGTAAGGGATCCACGTGCCAGGGCTTCGGGACACTGGATCACGGGGCACTGCCTGGCTGTTTCTATTTAGTAGTTATATCCAACATGGTTTATCCAAGTCTCATCAGGCCTTGCCCAACTCCTTCGCTATTGTGCCGATCAGCGCCCGTTTGCCTAGACACATCTTCTGGTTGGGCGGAGGGCTTGACTCGGGTTTCGCTGGGGCGGCAACGGCAAAAGCGGCCAGTCCAGCACTCCCGCGGGGGGGTATTGTGGCACCCAAGCACACCAGGCGTTGTCTCGGGTACAACACCTTGGGGTATGTATACTTTGTGCTCTGCGCGCCCACCGGCTTGCTGGCATGTCCTACTTTTCACTCATGGCCTCCAACGGATCAAACCTCAGCAGGCATCTCTGTCCCGCCGGGCGCGATGAGATCAGCTGATCCGACATCTCCATGCCGGCGGCCGTCATGCTCGCGTCCGGGAGCGTGGTAAACCTGGAGTAGACGGCCTGGAGCAACAGCTTCATCTCAGCCAGTGCCAGGCTGCGCCACACCGGGGGATGTCAGCAAATCGCTCACTTCTTCTCACTGTCGCACGATAGCACCACCAGCATGGAGGAGTTGTGTAAGGCACAGACAGACAGGGATGCAACCAAAAACAAACAAAAAAAAAAAAAACGTACTGCTTGCCAACACAGCCCCGCCCGCCATTGGCGAAGGCGAAGAAAAGCCGCTTCCGCTCGGCGTCGCCCTTGGGCTCCAGCCACCGCTCGGGCCGGAATGCGTCGGGCTCCGGGAACACCTCCCCGTCCATCCTCTGCACCGAGTAGGCCTGGCAGCTAACCGTCGTCCCCTGCGGCAGGAAGAACCCGTCGATCGTCCGCCCGCCGCCGGGCACGTAGCGCGGGAGGGACATGGGGATGGCCGGGAAGCAGCGCAGGCCTTCCAGGACCACGGCGTCGAGGTAGGGCAAGCGGTCGAAGCTCGCGCCCGGGTGGGCGAGGAGCTCGCGCTGTAGTGCTCGTTGGTAGGGCATGGATGCCGGCTGGGAGAGCTCCCACATCAGGAAGCAGAGGGCGTCGCCCGTGGTGTCGATGCCGGCGGCCATGTGGTCGAGGCACTCGGCGGCGATGTCCAGGGCGTCGAGGTGGTAGTTGGGCCCCTGCAGGCGGTTGAGCAGCGTGAAGGGCGCCGTGTCGGTCAGGGCACACGTGTCAAGCACGAAGTCGTCAGCCAGTGGCGTCTCGCGTGGTTTGGCGAACAGGTAGAGGACTTGTCCGAGGATCTTGTGCGCTGTTGGCCAGTAGAATTGGAAGAGTCGATCTGGGGTTTGTCAGTGGTAGGCTCGAAGATTGGGGTGTGGTCTGACGTGCTCTGGAGGCTGTCGTCGAAGGTTACTTCGCGCATGATCTCTTCGTCCTTGCTGCTTAGGAGCGAGTCCGTCCCGTTGGGGTGGAAGAGGTGGTGGGTGACGCAGTCAAAAGCGTATGAATGAAGGCCTGGTGTGTGAGCTTGAGTTAGTGTCGGTCCTCGTTCGTCAAGTTTAGCAAACGCATACTGATCTAGGACATATGTTAGCGTAATCTCAAAATACATAACTGAGGTGAACACACATAGAGATCAAGGCTTCCGCCAACAGATTGGAAGCACTTCTTGACGAAGTTGCCAGCGCGGTCAGCAATCCCGTCAAGGGACTGCGGCCGGACGACATTGGTGTTGGCGTAGCGGTCTGCAAGGATGCGTTTCCTCTTTGCATGCTAATAAGGTCAGATATTAGAAACCACCATACGATGGCTTGGAAAGGGCCTCACATCGTCCTTGTTCAGAGTAGTGAACATGGTCCTATACCCGGTTTCAGTACTCATTATCTAGTTGCTTTCACTCCCTCTGCAGGAAATCATACCGTCTCCCGTAGACCTTGAACATATCATAAAACTCGGTCTTATCGTAGCCACTACCGCCAGAGCAGTAGATTTCCTTGACCGCCGCGGCCGAGGCAAAGACAACCTCGTTTGGGGCAATCCGGACCGTGGGTCCATACTTCAGGTGTAAGTGATGCACATAGCGAGTCCTATTTGTCCTGAACTCGTGCCACTTCAGAACTAGGGTAGTGAACTTGGCGTGCCATGGTCCGGGGATTTTGTTGAGGGGCGATGTGAGACGTTGCCGGAGAGCGTGGACGGCGAGGAGGAAAACGACAAGGGAGATGAGGAGCGGGGAGAGCATGTTGGTGTGAGATGAGGCTGCCTATCCAAGTGGCATGTGGAAGTGAAAGGCTTGCTCTTTGGGAAGTTTGGAGTTCACCGGGCTTGGCCGGGCAGTGTCATGGGAGCCACAGGGCACAGGGATGGGGCTGGAGTCGGCTAGTACGGAGGGGTAACCGGCGTGCACGGGCCCGTAATGCCGGTATCCTCCCGTATCGGTGCCGGATGCCCGGGGGGTCAGCTAGCCAGGGGGTTGAATGCGACATGCCGAGGTGTATTTGTTTCCAGAATAGACGTTTAAGAGGGGTGTAACAAGGTTTTGATATTTGGGCCTTGGACAGCGTAAATATTTAATACCGAAGCTTCAATGACTTTGTTGAACCTTTGTTGTTTCGGCTCTCCTCTTGACACTTTACCCCTCCCGCGAGTCCAATCTCTCAACCTTGGGCAAATACCGAGTCCTTATTTTGCCTGCGGCGGGTACTTCTTGCCATCCTTCTCAACCTTGGGTTCGCAAATGCACCACTCATCCTCGGGAACGTTTGCAAAAACAGACGCGAGGTGGCTGCCGCAGCCGAACCAGGCCTGCTTGTCTGTATTGACCGTCAGTTCCAGACCACATCCGTTACAAAACATTCGGTTGGCCTTACTGCAGGTTTGACAGATAGTACCCATGCACATGGTGTAGATACTGGAGTTGAAGCTGGAGTCGAAGTTGGGATTGGGGTTGGTTGGAGTTGAGAATTGATGAAATTGGATTTTTGGAGTGGTGAAGGCTGGAAGGGTCCGGTTGTTGTTGCTACCCGTCACTTTCCGCTAGCCTGGACATCTGATAATTATATGCGCTCGAGCTTTCCGTCTCCGTACCGCCCCGTTAGTCATGCGGCAAAAGGGTCGCCGACTCGTGAGACTGTCGCAAAGACCCCACCGTCACAATCGCCGACTGTAGCGGGGTTTGGCGGGGTGATCCCCATGGCGTATCTTTCAGTTGCTGGTATTGTCACGTCGTAATTATAGTACCGAACTGTTCCCCGATGTCCGAGGCCCGCGACATCCGGCCGACAACAGTCTCACGGTTTAACAACCTGCTGCTCAAAGCCCAGCCAAGAACCGGGCCACCCGATCCGCGAGCCACTCCTGTCCGGCGTCGTTGTCCACACGGTGATTCGCGCCTGGAATGAGCCCGCTGAGCTCGCTGGCAATACCGGGCCTGCAGAAGCTTTTCCATTTCTTGACGAGTCCCATGACGTCAATCTCGGCGGGCACCCATTCGTCCTTCTCGGAGGGCACAATGAGCACCGGCTGCTCCAGCTTGCCCCAGATCTCCGCTAGTTTGCTGTCTGGCAGGTCCGACGAGAAGTAATCATCGTCGCCTCTAGGTAGGGATTGTCAGCGCCCGTGATCCAGACTGCTTGCTCGGCAGTTGCGTAGGAGAAGGAATCATAGAAAACAAAATAGAAAATGGAAAAGCAAACACAACAGAAAAGCTCACCCAACTCCCGCCAGCGAAGCCCACCGATACGCCGTCACCGGCCCATCCCTCCACCCCTTGGGCATCACCTCCCGATCCATAACCACATCCCCCTTCCCCTCCCTGACCAACCTCCCCGCCACCTCCAACGACGCCTTCACCTTCCCCCTCATCCTCCCCCCATCCCCAATGGCCTCCCGATCCGACACCGGCCCCTGCAAGATGAGCCCATCCACCTCCACCCCCTCCCACCCCTCCCCCCCATCCCTCAACGCACCCGCGTACGCCAAACAGTCCTGACACCCCGTACTATGCCCCATCAACACCACCCTCCGCATCCCCCTCCCACCACCACCACCACCCCCAGAACCAGAAGAACCACAACCACCGCGCAGGTAGCGCACCAACCCCGCCAGCTCGCGCGCGTCCTGCGCGAGCGAGGCCGTGCCGAACCCCGCGAACGCGCTGCTCAGCCGCGCCTCGAACACGGCGTAGCGATCGGTGTCGGGCAGGGCGGGCGTGGTGAGCAGGTGGGCGGCGAGATGGCGCGGGTAGGGGATGGTGTGGGGCCCGTCGCCGAGGCCGCCGATGAAGATGAGGGCGTTTTGGGGTTGGGTTTGGTTTGGGGAGTTGGGGGAGGGGAGGTGTTCGTAGGTTTGGACGAGGCGGTTGGGGTTGGTGGCGGAGGGGTAGTGGTGGACTTGGACGGGGTAGGAGGGAGGAAGGGTGGTGGTGGAGGTGGTGGTGGTGGTCGACATTTTGAGATGGGTAAGGGGTGAGTGGATTTTGATAGTGTGACGAAAATGTCGTGTTGTGGTTTGTGCTCGAGAAGAGAAACCGAATTTGAGCGTTGTGAGGAGACGAGGTTGATACATGCAGCTTCCTTGGCCATCAAGGTGCGTAGATGAGATGCAAATTGACGATTGGAACTGCGGGGTTAGGGGCGGGCAAGCGGTACTTGGGTGTTGATCTGCATGGCGTAAGTCAAGTTTAACGACACACAAATCCGTAGAACACCTGAAGCTCAGAAAAGACGAGCTCTTATTGTTCATCTCATATGTGAACTTCGGAATTATTTACGTGGGTACCTAACTTACACAGGATAAATACGAATCCCAAAACCTCGCCTTTCTATTGCCAGCTACCCCCTCGAGAAATGATGTTGGTTGAAAAGATCCGAGAATAGAACTAACCGATTAAATCTAAACCGCACAAACAATGCTTGTAAGGCTGGGCGTCTGAATATCTAAATAGTGAGTCAAAAATGAGTAGCGTCTCGAGCTTCATGTAACAGTCACATCAACCCGTCCCCGCACATAAACCACATTGCCGCCTCAAAATGAATACAATCCAACATCGCCTATCGGCCGATTTCTATGTTTGTTTTGTACCGTACTGTATAACAATGCACGCCAGTGTGCATCATGCAACTACAACAACAACACCCCCCACCCTTCCACCACATCTACACCCCCCCCCCCCCCCAAATTCAAACTCACCACATTACCATCATCTAAACCAGACCACCCCCCACCACCTCTCACAGGCTCAACCTAGCGGAGGGATTCCAGGGTATGCAACAAACCCCAACTCCAACACCTCACCTCACCTCCCCCTCCCAGCAGCGCCCTCCTCCGCCGGCCAAATCTCTCTCCACCATCTCAATTGCCCCCAGACTCGGAAACCGCATTCTGGAAATCCCGCACATAATCATCCTTCTCCGCGGTCGTCATCCTCAGCAGCGCCGACCCCTGCTCCGCCGGGCAGATCCACCGCCAGCAGCGCCTCAGAACCGCCGCCGCCACCACCGCTAACTACTACTACTCCCTGCAACAGCGTTGGTGGAAGAAGGGCACTCTGAGCTTGGGCGACGACAGGCCCCGCGCGTTGGCCGACAGGTCCGGCATGAGCGGGGTCATTTTGGCGGGGTACGGGGGGCGTCCGCCTGGTAGAGGCTTGTTGAGGTGGGTGGGTTTCGGCGGGGCCGGCGGCCGGTTGCTGCCGGTGGTGGTGGCGGCCATGGTTCGGCCGGTGGCGGAGGGCTCGACGCCTATCGCTGCCGACGGGCGTTGCGGTTGCGGTGGCTGCCCGCCCCCGCCCGTGGGTTTCCGCGGGACGGCTGGTTTGTTGTGGGCGCCTTCGCTCGGCTGGTTGGAGTTGGGGTTGGGAGGGGCGGCGGCGGCGTCGGAGTAGTGGCCATAGCCCTGAGCGGTGCGCGGGATTGTGGTGGAGGCGCGGTTGCTCTCGTCGATAAGGCTTTGGACCTTGTTCTGGATGGAGGCGACGCGTGAGACGCCGCCGATGCTCTTGGGTGGGGGTACGGGCGGACCACCACCACCGGTTCGCTGGCCTACGCGCTGTCTGTACTCGGCCTGTGCGGCGGCCACGCGTGCTTCCTCTTGCGCGAGCATGCGCGCCTCCTGCTCGCGGCGCATTTCAGGCGTCATGTCTTCCCATTCCGGTGACTGGCCATCGTCGCTGCGGCCGTCGACGGCCTCGGATCCGGCGATAGGCGTGAGAGTGTGGCGATCGTGGTGTTCGAGGTCTTTGAGTGGAGACGGTGTGCGCGGTTGGGGTGGCCCGGTCGTGTTGGCCTCGAAGCGCTTGAAGGCATCGCCGAACTTGCCGGCGAGGATGTTTTTGGTGCCGGCGCCGAGCGACGAGAGACTGCCTCGCTTGGGGTGCTGCTTGGCGAACTTGTCCTTCTTCGGATCCCAGTCCTCCATCGCGCGGAGGAAGTCCACGTTGGATTCGATGTTTGTCTCTTCGTCCGGGCTTGGCGGTTGGCTCCTCTCTAACGAGAGCCTCGGAGAGGGCAGAGCAGGAGACTTGGCTCTTGTTTCCTGTTTCCCCGTAGAAACTCGAGGGTGGGATTCTAGGTGCGTGCTAACGGGTCTTGGCCTCACAGTGAGTCGCGACCCGGGCCTGACCGGATCCCAGTTGCTCCAGGTTCGGCCTTCCGCCTTCTAATGACGGCCTCGACGATGAGGGGTGGCGTGCGTGTGTTTGTTGGGCAACCACGCCCTGGAACGAAGGCGTCCGAGAACCCATTGCTTCGCCAGGGGGCGGTGGGTTTTGGTTAGTCAGTGCCGGCCGAGGGACACTGGCCGCTCGGTGACGATCACTGGGAGGGAAACGCTGGATTTGGTACGGCGCAACTTGTTCTAGGGACGGGGACGTCATGGTCCCTATTGACACCATGGTCGGCTTGGGAGGTGGGGGCGGTGTTTGTGAGAGAGCCTGTAGTTCAGGGGTGTTCGAGATGATGGTTGATGCACGGCTGACCTCGCGCGGTTTTGAGGGAGCGGTGGCTGATTTAAGGGGCGGAGACATGACCGACGGGTTTGGTCTGCTAATATCCATAGACTGCCTCGGGCTTGGTGCAGCGGGCGCGGAGGAGGGAGGGGGCTTCACTTGGAACGCCTCATCTGCCAATCTTTCGGCAACCCGCTGGGACAGATCCTTTGGCTGTAGTGGCGAGTTGGTCAAGCCGTCGTCGAACTCGAACTTCTGGCCTTTGTCGTGAAGCAGAGAGAATTGGTCGAGGGTTGGGAACTTGCTGGACAGCTCATCGCCCTTCACAACGGCCCTGGAGTCAAGGGCAGCGAAGGGGTCGCCGTCGGTCACCTTGCCGGGAGACGGACTGGGCCGGTTCGGCTGCGGCGACTGGGCAACAGGCACCCTTCCCCGTCGCATGCGCTCAACTTCGGGAACCACCGGTTGGTGGTGGGTGGGTTGTGGGGAGAAGACGGCGCCGACGGCCGGCGGCGACTTGGCCCCATGGGGGTCGGGCAGAGGTTGGTCGCGCCGGTGGGCGTCCGCTTGCGATTTGCTTGAGTAAATCTGATGGGGCATGAATAAGTCATAAGCGAGAACAAAAAAGCGACTTCTATTACTCACATCCTTGACCGGAGGCTCTCGGTTTTGCATTGCGCAAGCCTCACGGAGCACCTGATAAATATTGGGTCTGACCTGCGGGTTCTCGCGCAGCATCCAGGCTGCTTATCATCAGCACTCGGCGGCACGCAAACGGTGTCTTCCAGCCTTACCAATGAGCCCCTTAAGCCTGTCGGAAAAGGCAGGGTGGCTGGGGAACCGATAGCTCGCATTAAGAATGGCAAGTTGCCCCTGCTCCTCAAACGGCGTAGTGTAGTAGCAAAGCTTGTAGAGCAAGACGCCGAGCGCCCAGATGTCGGACTTCTCGTCGATGGGCTGTTTCCTATAGACATCGACCATCTCCGGACTCCGGTATTGCATGGTCGTGTGTTTTTGCACGTCCTCATCCATGGCGCGGCACTCGGCGGTGGTGGTGGGCGCGGCGCGCGGGGGGGCTGCCGATCCGAAATCGCAGAGCTTGAACTTGCGGGCGGACCCGACCATGGTGATGAGCACGTTTTCGACTTTCAGATCGCGGTGTAGGAGCGCTGGGCGCAAGTAGTGCATGCAGGCGACGCCCTCGGCAACATCGGCGAAGATGTTGAGGATCTCGGGCTCGGTCAGGCGATGCTGCAGGCGCGTGTTCATGAAGTCGATCAGCCCACCGCCGTTGCAGTATTCCATGAGCAGGAAGACCTCGTAGCCGCCGCCGCGCAGCTCCGAGGCGTGCGAGTCGATGTAGGTGACAATGGCGCGGTGGCCCTTGAGGCGCTTCATGGTTTCGACCTCGGTGCGCATCCCCCGCAGCGAGTCCTTGTCCGGGACCGCCACCCGCTTCAACACGGCCTGATCCGTCCCGTTGACGGGTGTCGGCATCTTGACCAGGTACACGTGTGCAAACCCGCTCCTCAGATAGGTATTTCTGGATAACCACGCGGTGGCTTCCAACTTGTATCTTGGTCCCGGGCGAGAAGGTACCGGCCGGGACACCAGCAGCCACCGGCGCGGGGGCGGCGTGGGCCACCCCGTAGTTTGCGGGCGCCGCATGACCGTACGACGCCATTTGTGGTTTCGTTTCTCCCTCTCTCACGCGGTAGGGGGATTCCCAATATTAGGGGCGTCGGTAGAGGGGTCGATTCGCGGGCGCAAGGGACGGGAGACGAGATACCCGTGGACGGCGGTGGGAGTGGGAGGAGAGAAGCTCGGTACTTGGGGCAGAGTCGGGGAGCGAGCTCAGGTCATCGAGGAGAGCGTCGTCGTGCGGGATTCGTTTACGATACAGGATTCATGGCCGCGGTCCTCGCCGGTCCGAGTAAAGTAGCACAAATTAGGCGGTGGAGGAGAGCGGGATGACGAAGAGCGAGTCCCTACCAAGAGGCTGAGTTTCGAGGTTGAATGTCCATGCCAGGTACCGACAATGCACCCACCGCCGCCGACACCCTGCGTTGGCCAAGTGGGGCCAGCTGGCATTTGGGCTTGGCGGGTGACCTCTGTGGGCCAGGGAGGGGTCAAAAGATTGCAGCAGGAAACGTCAACTTCCAGGCACCAAAGCATGCCAAAAACTGCTTCCAAAGGCTGCCTGTTGAACCCCTCGGTTTGCGATCCAGCATGGGTGAGCGTGTCCCTGATCTCAACCACCTTTCACATGTGACGCAACCTGCAACCAACCAAATCAATGCCAAAACCTGCCACTAACTAACTGGAATCAGAACACCAAGCGCTGGTTCGAAAAAGGGGCTTGTGACTCTCCACAGTTGTGGGAGTGCTCGAGATTGACTAATTTGGCCTTTATTAGAGATGATGTCTCAATATGCAGTTACGAGAGCATCGCTAGGTTCAGGACATATCTAAGCATCTTGATCAACATCACCTCCCCAACAGCCCCTGAAAGAACAGGTTTCGTCCTCACTTAGGACACGTTTCCGCACACTGGTGGGCAGGAATCCCGCTCCCTTCAGTCGTTAAATCTGTGTTATGGACACGTAGACCAGACGGTAAATAGGCAAGTTCGCGCAGGTTGATCCTTCATACGAGGTGAAGAGGAAAGGGGGGTGGTTTGTGCATTTCTCACTCGACTACCTTTTATCCCAATGCCATTTTCGTCAAGGAAGGGAGAGATAAATATCCGGATTACGGAGCACCGAAGTTCTACTAGGCTCTAGTCTCGAGTCAATAGCAAGCCTAGGTAATAAAAAGACAAGATAGATCCTACAGTGCTATGAAACAAGTGTAGTCAAGTTTACCCTTGCACCACCACCTGCCTGACCGATGCTAGCTACACCGCAACCCGCACCCGTTCCCATCCCCTCCATGCTCGCAAACCGGAACTCAAATCCCTTCACAACGGGTGCCTCCCTGGCCTGAGCCATCCCCCGCTCATACAACGCCAGCCAGACGGCATCCCCATTGATCGTCTCCAGTGCCTCCCTCAGCTCAGGGTGCTGCGGCAGCACATCAACAACCAACCCAAGGATATCATCAAACATGTCATCCTCGACCCTCACAAACGCCACAACCGCCGTCAGCAACCCCAGCACCGCCTCCCACACCTGTGACGCCTGCGCAAACCTCCCAAGCGCGCCCCCAGACGGCCCCGAACTCTCCACCATCCTGGTCCCATCCCCAGCCGCACCCTCCCTCACGGGGACTAATATCCCCTCCTTCTTCCCTCCACCCATACTACCACCTCCAACCTCCATCCCCATCAACAGCCCCGACCTACCACCGCCCTTTCCCCTCTTCTCCCCGTTCGCCCTCCCCTTCAC